CGCAGACGCTAACATACATGAGTGCACACTCACTCCTATGAACACACACCCTATCCCTATAAGCACCTTCGAAGAACTAAGTTGCACCGGCAAATCTCGAGATTGACGAAGTCACCACATACGTCTCGCTGTCGACGGGCACGTCGTCTACCACTAAAAGAATAATGTCGTTAAATCCTGGAATAAATCCAGAAAAATACGAGTACCCGTGTCAAGTTGGGGACTTGAAACCGGATGGACAGGTTCCACCATAAGAAGCCCAACCAGTTGAGCTTGCATACATTGGACCAAATTTCTTTGGTCTTAGGACATGCGAGAACTCATCTACTCCATCGGTTTCAAATTGTAAGTTAGTTCTGTATTTTTCAGGTACACAACTTTTATTATGTATTCTGTCCGTTTTAAATTATAGGACGTTTTGACTTTTCTAGATCTATTACTTTACTATGTATCTAGATATAATATATATCTAAAAGCATAGCAAAAGGTACGTAACTAGAGAAGACAGAATGACTTACAATTTGGACCAGAGGCAGTAGATCATAAATTGCTTGCTTGATCCCGGATTGGAGTGATTTTAATGGTGAATTGTGGGTGCAAAGGATGTCTTGATCCATGCTCTACACGAGCATCGCGAGTTTCACTTTCATAGATCTTGGAAGATTGCCTTTTATATAGTTAGTTTTTTAATCCAAAATCACAAATTCCAAGGTAAAGTCTTGGTCATTTTCACATTTTTGGCAAAGACTCATCATGTCTCAAGTAAATTGCGTGAAGTTTAAAGCCCATTTTTTGGCAAACACTTCTCTTATGGTTCAGGTGTATTTTTTTTTATTGTTTGACTATAGAAAGTTTGTAAATGATCTTGTGTGAGTTGTCATTTTAATTATACTTTCTGGTTGTTTGAGATTGCTGCATGAAAATCTAGACACTTAACTCCCTTAATTTAGCGAGGGCAGGGATTCACAAACATCTCGTCATCGATGGAGAGGTGGACGCATGCAGGAACACTTTGGCGGACTGCCGGAGTGGCACCTTGTCGTCGATGGGAACACGGACGTTGCGGCCTTGATTTTCTCGTCCTGCAGACTGCGGTGCTCCGATCCGATACCGGGATCATCACCCAGGTCGCGACCAGCCGGCGCCCTAACGGACGGAGCAGAGGAGGCATCCCGATCCCTTGAAGTGAAGGATCGCGGGACAGGACAGCTTCGATGGCCATGTCGCAGCCTCACAGGGATTCAGTTGTTCGAGGACCATCAACCAGCTTGGGGCTAGAGATTAGGGTTCATGATGTGGTTCGACGCGCGTTGGCTGTTCTGATGGATCGGGTTTCTTCTGACGTGGCGTGGAGCAGGTCATCCACGTGGCAGGTAGGGAGCCCGGCCAGGTGCACTGCCGTACGAGAAGAGTCCATCTGTCGTCTATCGCTCATTATGCAACCCCGGCCAATCCACTGACTCATGCACCCCCGGCCAATCCACCGCTCATTGCGCGAGGCAAGATCGGATTCAAAGACCCATGGCGGCGCTGCCGTCGACGCGTACTGCGCTGAACCGAAGGTCCATCTACCTCATCATGAACGGCGGCAATGACGTCCACACGCTGCACCGCATTGACACGAGCCCTCTATTCGCTGCAGGCAGGGGCGGAGCTACAGGGTGGGCTGACCACCCTGCAGATTTGGCCCAAAGTCTAATACCCGTCAATATTCGGCCGGACTCTGGTGGCCTGGTCTATGTGCTTCTGCTGTCGAATCCCGATTGAGCCTGAGCGACGAAGTCCAAGCGACGTCCGCGTCTCCGCGATCTGCACGTCTTCTGAGTTCTGACTCCAACCGTCCAAAGTCGTACTCGATCTGTATTTGCCGCAGCAGAGCAGCCGCCGCCCGCCACCTGGCCAGACGTCGGAGTCAGAGGCAAGGCTAGCAAGTAGCAACCCACAACCTGTACGTTGATCTTGAATCTTGATATCCTTTCTTCTTTACTCGAGTTCTATCACGTTTCTCTCTCTCTGTATCAAGCGATTAAGCCCTAAACTGCTAAAGTGCTAACATGAGATAATCAACAATCTACGGTTCAACTTCAATTCAATTTGGCGGCAAGTATTGCATCTACTACAGTGCTACGGCCAACGGTACACTGTACTTAGAAATAATTTAATTTCTATTTCATCTCAATTTTAAAATTTTATTGTAGCACTGAAATAATTTAAATATTTAATTGAAACATTGAGCTTGCTTATTTCTCTTACATATTTATTGAAAATGATGAGGAGTGGTGATATCGCCTCTCTTTTTCAGAAATATGAATCAAAGAAGAAGACTTTTTCTCCATCTCCTTCACTGGCTGCAGCTGTTCCAGAGGAGGAAATTGAAGAACAAGAAGATGGACCGGATGAAGATAGAGTGATTGAAGAAAATGTGGCTCCAACTCCAGTGCCTCCAACTCCAAGTCCACCAGTTTATGATATTAGTCGACTTCCACTTGATCCAGGGGAAAGACAACCCATTGCAAATTATCCTGTCAATGATCAAGATGCAGTTTGACGATCTTATATCATTAAAGGCCCATATCAACCTTATGCTCATGAATTTGAAAGTAGAAAAATTGGACATAGGGATCGACAATTCAATCCTATATGGTTTTATAAATATCCTTGGATTGAATATAGTATCAAGAAGGAAGCAACATTTTGCTTTGTGTGCTACTTGTTTGCAAAGGAGAAAACTAAGAAATCTGCATTTATTGAAGGTGTCTGGAGAACTTGGAATAGAAATGATGCACTTGATTTACATGTGGGTGGTGTAACAAGTGCTCACAATGCAGCTCAAGAAAGATACAACTTATTTATGACTCCCCATGGAGCAATTGATGATAAAATTGTGAAGGTGGATAATGAGGAGCAGCGTCTCTATAAGATCAGGTTGACTTATTCACTTAGATGTTTGAGGTTTCTTTTGCAGCAAGTGTTAGCATTCCGTGGGCATGATGAAAGTAAAGAGTCTAGCAACAGAGGAAACTTCATTGAGCTTTTGAAGTGGCTTGCAGCAAATAATGAAAAGGTGGACAAGTTCGTATTGAAGAATGCTCCAAGTAATTGCACTTTGACTAGCCCAGACATACAAAAAGAAATTATTTAATGATGTGCAATGGAGACTAGAGATCAAATCACTAAGGTAATTGGTGAAGATCACTATACTATTTTAGCTGATGAGTCTAGTGATGTCTCTCATAAAGAACAACTAGCCCTTTGCTTGCATTATGTTGATAAATCAGGAAGGCCGTGTGAGCGGTTTCTTGGAATTGTTCATGTAGATGATACTACTTCATCATCACTTAAGGAAGCAATTCAATCATCACTAGTTAGTCATGGTTTGACTATAACTCAAACCCGTGGTCAAGGCTACGATGGGGCTAATAACATGAAAGGAGATATTAAAGGGCTAAAAACCTTGATTACGAAAGAATCACCATCTGCTTATTATGTTCACCGTTTTGCACATCAACTCCAATTGATTTTTGTTGCTGTTGCCAAAGACAATGATGATTGTGTGTGGTTTTTTGATCGAGTATCCCTCTTGCTAAATATTATTGGTAGTTCTTGTAAGCGTCATGGCATGCTTCGACATCACCAATATGCCAATGTCATGAAAGCACTTGAGTGTGGTATACTAGAATCTGGAAGTGGGTTAAATTAAGAGATGGGGCTGCCTAGACCTGGTGACACTCGATGGGGCTCTCATTATAAAACTGTGGTCAACATGATTGCTATGTATCCCACAATTCGCGATGTACTCATAGCTCTTGGACAAGACACTTCACAAATGGGTGAATGGCCAAAAATACATACTATGGTTGGAGTGTTTGAGTCATTTGATTTCATTTTTAGTGCTCATTTGATGCTTGACATTCTTGGACATACAAATGAATTGTTTGAGTGTTTGCAAAGAAAAGACCAAGATATCCTTAATGCAATGTCACTTGTCCGTTTGGCAAAGAGTAAAATGCAGCAAATGAGGTCTAAAGGGTGGGTTTCATTTCTTCAAAGGGTTACAATATTTTGCAACAAATATGGCATTAAGTTCCTAGAATGGAACATAATTATGTGCCATATGAAAGATCAGCACGTTTTGCTCAGGACCAAACAAATGATGATCACTTCAGAAGAGAAGTATATATTGGAGTCATTGATAAAATTAGTCACGAGCTTGACAGTCGGTTTGATGAGGTAAATATGGAGTTGCTTACTTGTATGGCTGCTTTGAATCCAGTAGATTCCTTTGCTTTTTTTATGCAAACAAGGTACATAGACTTGCTAAATTTTACCCTAATGATTTTTCAAACTCTAACTTGCTAAGACTCGATCTGCAACTTGGAACTTTTATTGATGACATGAGGAAAGATGAAATGTTCAAAGGCCTAAACAATCTTGTTGACCTCTCAGTAAAACTTGTTGAAACAAAGAGGGATAAAGTTTATCATTGGGTCTATTTACTTATCAAATTGGTATTGCTTCTACCGGTGGTTACTGCAAGTGTTGAAAGAATATTTTCTGCAATGACTTTTATCAAGAATAAGTTGAGAAATAAGATGGGTGATAGCCTTCTCGATGATTGTCTAGTGACTTTTATTGAGCGGGATATCTTCTTACAATTGAGTGAAGAAGAGATCATCAACACTTTCATGGTTATTAGAAGGCGAAGGCCTGACAAGAAGAAGAAGTAGTAACATATTTTTCTTCAACTATTATAGGTATGTAATATTTCGATCAATTCTACGTTAAGAAAGCTATACTCGTTTATTTTATTAACTCTATATGTCATTTTTCCCTTAATTGTATTTTGTAATTCATATATTTATGCATTGACAAGTTAAATTTATAGCGGTTAAAAAAATTTAGACAATGGACCACCATAGCTACACATCCTTGCTAGGCCACTGGCTGCAGGCGGGCGCGCACAAGACGGGGCGCCGGAGGCGACACAGCCCGCCGCTACCCTACCGCGCCCGTTGGCGAGCTTCGATTGCGCCACCGGCCGGCAGTTCCTCCCGTTGGGCCGCGGCGTGGAGAAGATCGTCAGCGTGAACAGGCACCGGCACACCGTCATCTTCGACACGCGCACGGAGGCCGTGCGCGCCGGGCCCGACGCGCGCCACGTCAAGTGTCACTACCACGGGTCCACGTGGGCCGAGGCCGGCAGCAGGCTCTACCACCTCGGCCGCGGCCCCGGGTACGAGGAGCAGGAATGCCTCGACTTCGAGGCCCTGATCTACGACCGCCACCGTGAGGATTGGTTCTGGAACCTCCTCCCCTCGCCGCCGATCGAGTCGTACAGGCATGTGCACATAGACTCGTTCGCCGATGCCGGCGCCGCCTCGACCATCAGGATCTCGACGAGGAACGCGGCGCGCGCGTCGTGGCGCAAGGAAGGCGGCTGGGCGCTGCCCTTCCGTGGACGCGCGCAGTACGTCGCCGACTACGGCCTGTGGTTCGGCTTCACCGACGACGGAGCGGCCGACCTGTGCGCGGCCGACCTGAACGCCGCCGGCAGACCGGCGTGCCGGCACGTCTGGGCCAACGTCGACGCCCACGCAAACCACGCCGACAGCTGGTTGGAGCTGTCCTACCTCTCGTACCTGGGCAGCGGCAGGTTCTGCGTGACCAGGTTCTTCAGGGAGACGGGCAACGACGGGCGCTTCATCATGATGGCCGTCGTGACGGCGGTGGAGGCCACACGCGCCGCCGCCTCGGCCACCGGGGAGCTGCAAATGGTCAGCCGGGCGTCCGTGCGCTACCACAGCCCCGTGTGCGATTCGCCTTGTTGGGCGTATTGATGCGCGTCTGCCTAATGCTCGTCTCCATGCGATGCATATGCATGGGACTGTTGCATGAAGCCCTGAACTTGTGTCGTGTTTTGTGTAAAATCTTCGGCATATATGAACGAATGTGTTTGCTTTTGATGTAGCAATGGCAATCTAAAGATATGATTCGTTGTGGCCAGCTCACTCAGCCAGCGCGTCCACGTCGCTGTTATTTCGTGGCCGTTCGATCGGCTGCGCGGACGGTCCAGATCGGGCGAGCCGCGGTCGTTTTACGAAAAACCCCTTTCAGTTTTCAGAAATCAACCCGTGCTCTAGACGTCCTCTCATAATTTTTTTTAAAAAAACGCCTCATGTTATTTCCAAATCGACGCGCACTGGTTTATTTGTAAAAAAGACCTCCACTTTATCGAAATTCAACCCGCGCTCCATAGACACTCTCATCATTTTTTACGAAAACATCCTCTGATTTTTCTCAAATAAAAAAACAATCCACCTTTCATTATTTCTTTTCTTTTCTCCAAAATAATATGTGGGGCCCGTGCACCGCGCGCATGGGCGCGCCTGAAGGACTAGTAGCATAGCATAGCATAGCCCGTTACAGCAACGTCGTCAAAAGCTACGTACGGGGGCACAAAGGTGAATCTACAGCATCGCCGTGTGGCGCCAGCGGTGGAGGCGTCCGCCGAGCTCATCAAATGAGCGTTTAGCACTTCTACAAAACACATATATACTAACAAATATGACCCCAACTTATGGACAAGGTCATCCTTTACAATCAGAGTAGGATATTGGCACGTTGCTAAAGCCTATCTGTGCACCTTGGAGCTTCAACATACACGTCAGCACACAGTTCGCCCGTAGCAGACCGATGAAATATACAGGTTTTTCATCCATTTTTCCTGAATTTTTTTGTCCTGTGTCAGATTTTCAGATTGGTAGATAGACAGAAACAAGGCACTAGAAAATCTGTTGCTAAATAAACTGCATGAATAATGGATGCAATATCATATACCCACCTTTACATGGGTGCTGGGGAAGGCGGAAGTACGAAGAGTTTCTTGCGTCTCGTCCATGGGCTTCCTCTTTGGGATGCTCAAGATAAAAGCAGCTTGGTCAGGTGTAGCTGCAATCGAAGTTATCCTATAACCAGTCTCCCATCGCAGATGGATACCTTCACTAGGATACAGGAAGTCCAGCTCCACAACCTGTATGTTTCAAGGCAGAATCAGCTCCGTTGCGACCATATGTTTATAGATTGGGTGTTTTGCATGCAGCGATGAAACTGGAAGAGAAGCTTGCTGTCAACCGAATTATAGAGTTAAAATGCATATACATATGCGTAATGTAGCATAGATATATATCTTTTTTTTTTTACAAATAACTCTTTCTGATGGATAAGTAACTCTTAGAGTGATGAGCAAGGGGAGCTCTCCATGCAGGATACATTTCTATCAAAATTCAGAGACTGACTTTGGGAGCCTTGGGCGTGTAGGGCCACAACTGATGAATTGCAGGCAGCTTAAAAAATAATAATTTAAAGAAGAATTAGTCCTACAAATGACGAGTTAGGGTTTTAGTTCAAGTTATTCTTACAACCCAGAGGTAAGTACTTCAGATTATGTAGTTTCATGAGGTGCCTCAAAGGACTCACAGACAAGGTTGACATTGGGACCAAAAGAAATAACAAGAATACAAAAAGACTCATCAAATTAATAATTTCCAGAGGAAAAAAAAGATCAGACAAGAGGAATTGATGCTCAGTCAACTCCAAATATAAATAAAGATGGAAAATACAGCACAAATTAATCTACCTGACACATGAGAAACCACATAATTCATGGAAAACACGATCACCGTTCCATATGATGTATTGCAAAAAAAAGGAAGAAAGAAACGGTAAATACAGCTTGTATTCTAAATAAAAACTGATAGATACAAGTAGATATGTAACCTGAGTAGAATAGCCTGCATTCCTTGACATGATCACTCCCCAACGATTCCCTGCTGTAGCCATAGATGTCACATGAAAACCTTCTTTCCATTTTTTATTAATCCATTTATAAGGAAATGATTCACTGACTTTGTATGACTGCTGTGTGTACGGAGTTCCTGTAGTGATGAGGCATACCAAGTCAGAACAATACTTATATGGAAGAAAAGACGTTAACAGTTCACAAGGAGCACACATTACATAGACGTCCTGTCAATGCTCAGCAACACAAAACTGCTCACACCATCAACTTATCACTAGTATATCAGAACTATAACCAATAGTAAAACTAACATTAGCAAGTCATTTATCAGAACTATGGCCAATGGCACACTAATGATATTAGCAAGAATAGGTAGATAATATGGGGGGATAATATGTTTCCTGTCATGCTTTGGCTGACACAATAACTGGCTGACGATACCATATATGGCATATGGAAATATGGATCCATGCAGCGATTTTAGTGTACCCGAACCTGCATACTTGGAAGTCTAGTCCTAAACATCATGGAAAAACATGAAAAAATATCTGATCATTTGCATTCCAATCTGCATACTGGGCCTAATTTGAAAACTGTTTAGTAGAGAAAAACAATCTACAGACCTTTAGACATTACAATCAAGGAACTTCCATTGGTTGCTCCAGCAATTGCTGTTATGTAATAATTCTTCTCCCACTGCTCTGTAATCCACTCCTACAAATATACACAACCTAGAATCAGGAGATGGAGTGATGGAGGGAGTGACAGAGGGAAAGAAAGAGATCATAGTGTACCTTGTGCAGAAACACTTGTGAGAGCTCATAAACTTGAGAACAAAACCCAGTCCCAGCATCCATGATGAGAGCCCAAAAATTTGCTGAAGAAGCCACAGAACTTACATACAAACCATCTCGATTACCTTTTTCTATATGCTGGTGCAGCCTTGAATCAGCTACATTATAATGATATCTAAAGACAAAAGAAGCAGTGTCTTTTACAGTGAAATTTTTTAAATCATACTTAAATAGGGGGGTGCAGCAAAAATATGAATAAATAGCTGAGTAACCAGTGGGACTTCATATATTTCAAACTAAAAAGAAAGCACGCATGCACATGCAGAGAAATAGGAGCTACACAAGCTTAAATTGCACAGTAGTAGAAATAGCATGTAACGCTTTATGTTTGACTAGTACAACAATGTTGACTGCTACTTTTGCCAAGGCATTATGCAAAACTAGGGTCATGCAAGATGTATGGCTGTTAGAGGGGGAGTTCACACTAGCGCTATCCCAAACATGACCAAAAAGATATCCTGCTTAATTCAGCTACATTTATCCAGTGCTTAAGAATGTTGTTCCATGAATCCCATCATATCCTTGATACCATCTAAAGAAGTTCTTCGTTTCAGGAATTAAAATGCCAGCTCTTGTTTTATCACGTGTTTATGTTATGTCTAGAAAGCATGTTGATTACAATTTTACAAAGTGAAAAGGGCACAGGGGCACAAAAAAGCCTTTCTCAGAGAAAAAGAACCATGGTTGTAACAAGATTTTTTAGTGGCTAAATTTCAATACTGGTGAAACGATAAGAAGCCCCATGAGATGCCAAGTGTCTATTCAAAGAAATCACATAAAGATAAACAAACAAACAAATCATCATTCAGAATCCTAGTGATACTGTGTGCTGTGAGCAAAGGAAGCACTTAGTCTAGACTCTAGAACATACCATTTTAAAGAGCAAGGGAAATACGACATCATAGCCAATAGAAGATACTGTATTTACATACACAAATATAAAAGAGCAATTTATATGACTGGCATATTTGAATGCAATTACCTCTGCTTCATGGGCCACCTAGCATTATACACTGAAATCCATTGAGTTGCTGGGCTCCCCAATCTAACTTTCTTCTTCGGTTGTTCTTCGACCTCAAGGTTTACGTGTGCTCTTCCACGTTTCTGTCCAACCTATAGTATGTGCAACAGATTCATGACCTAAACTAAAAGAAGCAGAATAAACTAACGATTGGATTTTTCCAAATGAATAAAATAGTTGTAACATTGGAAATGGTAATATGTTGTGCGCATGGCAGATCAGACCTTTAGAGCTCCATCAATTCTGATGGGTCTTGAAGCAGGCTCTTCAATCAAACCATCAAAAACAGAAATAAGTTTAGGGTAATTTGGCTCTTCATCAAATTTCAAATTGGTGACCATCTCAAGAAAATATTTGAATGGAGCTGGACAGAAGCAACAAAGCATCTCTGGAGAAGTGGCCATTTTCTTCTTACAAACAAGAAAACTCTTGTTATCTCCCTGCATTATTAAATCATTATTAGCAAAAACAGGTCCAAGACAAAACAGAACATGTTAACACAGACACAGCTGAGCATGTCTAAGGCTACCTGATAGCCTTGCCAAGGCAATCTTCCTCTTATTAAAAAAATAAGGGTGTATGCCAGTGACTCCAGATCATCCCTCCTACTACCAGTACGACCTAAATGAGCATGGACACTAGCATATCTAATTGTTCCCCTGCAAAATGTAAAGAGGAGATAGTTAATGTTAGGAGGTGACACAATTTTATACAGAAAGAAGCTAGTACAGTAACATGCACCACAAGATCTAACTAACCTAAAGATATCTGGCCTCTGATCATATTCAACATGCTTATCAGATGCTGCTTCTTTCCACCTGGATGCTGCATAATTTTAAAATTCACAGAACAGTGTAGAAAAGGTCAGTGGGGGCATAAAACATATCCTAAGAAACCAACGCCAACTAGGGAAGGCCATAGTGTCTCAACAATGTGAGACATAGTATCTTACTATCTTCACATATAGATTAAGTTATTTTGATCAAGATATCTTCACACATAGATTAAGTTATTTTGAACAAGGTACCTAAACCAAGATCAATCAGGAAAAGCTTCTTCTCATCAGGTGAACCAGGCTGACCAAGCAAAAAGTTCTCTGGTTTCACATCGCCATGTACAAAGCTGGCAATGATAGGAAACCATGTGACTGTTAGCATCAAAAGTATACTAAAATTCATGCATCTTACTATAATCGAGTACTTTTTGGTTTACCCTTTTGAGTGAAGTTTCTCAAGAATTGATATGGCCTCAACAGCAATGCAAGCAGCCATATGAGGAGCCATCCTATTGGAGGCATTGATATCAGTAGGGAGTAAGAAAACATATGGATAAGGTAAACAGTTTGGCAAGATACTTACGCCTGTCCTACAGAATTCCAAACATCCCAGAGGCTGGAACCAAGCATATCCATTACCTGAAATTTGGAATCCAGGTTTAATAAAATATCGAGTTAAGTGCGGATACATTTTTTTGGCAGTTAATAACTAACTTTAAACTCACAAGAATGTAGTACTCTCCCTGGCGACCCTTGTAGTGGACTGATGGAATGCCATAACAACCATTGAGAGTCCTGGTCAGACAAGATAATGGATCATTATCCACAGAGAATAACTGAAATACAGGAGGAGGATTATGAAGGTTCGTACTGATAAACGTGCCACTCGCATGGGGGGGCATAGTTGCATCCCTTACTGCTTCGGTGCTCAAATTTTAGTGCAACCTACAGGACATTCACCCAGATATTTGAATGGTGTACCAAATAGAACTTTAGCATTCGATTGAAAGAGATAAAAGAAGAAACCTCATATGCATCAGGACCCATACGAGAAGATCCACCAGATACTCTTCTTCCAACATAAACCTGGCCAAAGCCACCTTTGCCTAACTTTCTACCAGTTAAATATTCTGGGGAATTACCTACTTGAACCTGCAACAATTGGATAACGTATAGGTGCTTATAATTCATAGCTGCAGAACTATACATATAGGCAAGTTAATCAGCAAGAAATGGCGAACTAAGATTATAATAAAAAATAGAAACCTATTAAACAATAAAGACTTTATCTTGCCAAGTGAATGTGTCTTTAGTGCCCATTCCTAAAAATGTAACTGCAGTGCACTGAATGTGCCAGCAAATTCTTCACAATGTCTGTCCCAAATGGGGAATACAATCTCTCTGCTATCTCTGTTCTCTAAAGATCTTAAACTTGAGTCCGCGAGTTCATGTGAGTGTGTGGTTTCTTGCATGGGTTCTTTTGCCCTTTCTCGTTCTTAATATAAAGATACGGCGCTCTCCTGCGTGTTTGATAAAAAAAATTAACACCTACTGTATTCCCTAAGAGACTGCAAAGGCAAGAATGGTTGAAGGGGGGTGTAAGGAATTGTTTTAATAATCACTGAAATACAATAGGCAAAAAAAAACTAATCCAGGAAGATGTTGTTTATTATTTACATTTCTTTGAGTTCATTGTGCTAGTTCTTTACTATCATTACTTCTTTCTAAAAACCAAAGTCTTGTGATGGTACAATCCAATAATTCAGAACTTGATTTCTCTCGTGCAAATAAAGATGCAATCTATCAAGCACACCAAAGCCAACAATTTTGTTCCTCTTCACCATTCAGATTGATCATCGCCGTGGTAGCCTGGTAGGTTCTCAATTTGGTTTGGTCTTTGCTTTTATATCAAAAGAACTAATATTGTGCCCAACATATAGCATGGATACCTAAGACTGCATGCTATATTCTACGGAAAAGTAAATAGATACAGCACAGGAGAAGCATGTTCCCAGTGGAAAAAATTTGTATCTAACACAAGCACAATAGGGCACATATGAAATTCACTGAATAACACAAGCTACATGATGGAACTACCAAACAAAACAAAACAAGAGAAAACAGCACAAGAAAGGCTTTGTAACAGGTCAAAGGACAACACTTGATCGATCGCTCTACAAAATTGCACACCATGTAAAGGAACACATCTGGAAAAGAGAAGCCATACCCTCTCAGGCACTGGGGAGGTTGTGGCATCATCCTCTGGCACTGCAAATTTGTCCGTATCACCCACCATTCTTAAGCTGGCAGCACAGTCAGCTGCCTTGCTCAAACAAAGGTCCTTGTGGGTTGTGCCAATAACTGCCTCGCCAGCAACAACAGGTTCAGGGAGGTTGTTGCAAGGCAGATCAGTCTGCAAATCAATAGCCTCGAGCCCCTTTCCTCTGTGTTTAGAAGCTGACCTCCCTCTACCCTTAGCAGCTGCTTTGTTACCTCTACCACTACCAGCCACAGCACCTCCACGCCTTCTAGCCCTGCCCTGAGGAGGCGGCACTGCTGGGCTCCCAACTGGGTCTGCAGCCTTGTCGACCTTCTTAGACCTCAGACAAGCTCTCCGAGCACCACTTCGGAACTCTGGCATTATCTCTCCATGCAACTCAGGCTGGCGTTACATCCTTGGGCGCTCCTTCCAATTAATCTCCACATGCAAGAATACCCAGCAGAGAAGAATAAATTCACCGATCAAAGGAAAACCATGAGAGAAACCAAATGAGCAAGCATCGGAATTTCAGCTCAACTGCTCAAGAAGTGTCCCTCCCTTCGCCCGTTGTGACAAGAAAAGAACGACCAGTTCAGGTGTACAAAAGCGGGGAGGACGGAGGAATAAAACTGGGGCCTTCATCGCCATCGCGAACCCCCTTAAAGACACGCCCTGCTTCCCAATCACCAAGGTCCTTTAAAGCGGAATCGAATGCCACCGTCGTCACTAAAGCCAGCGATGAGGCGATGACATCTCCATCACCCGATGCCTCCCGGAGGAGTATCCGCTGACGAAAATCCCACCTTTTACAGCCAGATAGATTACCGCCAATCGCGAGCTAAATCACCTCCAGATAGTCAAAGGAAGCCGTCTCAAGGCGCCAACCTCACCCAAACCGCGCACTTCTCCGAAATCCGTACTGACGCACCGCGCGACAGGCATCTTATCATCAGCGCCGAAGCATTTCCGGGCCCGAATCCGCCGCGTGAGGCCGAATCAGGCCGGCCGGCAAAACCCCATCAGATCGCGCCGACGTACCAACGGACTCACGACGAACGATCCGATCGTGCGGAAACCGGGAGCCACCGTCACCGCCGCTGCCACGCGCGCGGATAAAAAAGAAAAAGAAAACAGCCGGAGAAACAGTGGGGGCGCGGAATGGAAAGCGCGCGGCATTGGAGCAGCAGCAGCAGCACCGAAGAGAGACTTACATTAGTACATCAGCCGGCAGCGTCTTAGCAGCGCGGCGATGGCGACGGCGATGGTGGCGCGGAGCCTCGGGAGCCGTGCAGCGGGGCGTCGCGACCGGGGGCAGAAACCGCGGAGCGGAGCGCCCGCTCCTCTGTGTCGCGTGGCGTGGTGGGAGCAGAGCAGCGCTTGTGTGTGTGCGCGTCGCAAGCCGCAGCAACTCAACCCATGCAAGCGGAGGTGGTTCCACTTGCACACGAACCTGGGTGGGCGCGGGGCTGGGTGTCCTTGTGCCACCGGCCCGTGGGGCCTACAACTGCCGGTTGCGGAATTCTGGTTTTTGTTTCAAAAAATTACGGAGGGCGCGCGGCTGGGCGTCTTTTTATCCTTTTTGATTGAGTTCTGATGACAAAACAAATGCTCCGGTCCATGATGTCCTCCAGAGAGTCCAGACTCAAGATAAGATAACAACATGCATGTCGAGGCTCGGCTGGTTCATCACGATGACACCAGTGCAGGCTCACAGTAGTATGTCTATGTCCTGTTCGCTCGATTGTATCAGTCATCGTATAGTGTTTTTCTTTTACAACAAAACAGCATTAGCCGGCTTATAAGCCACAGAAACGATCAAACGAACATGGTGATACAGAAAGGTTTGTGCCGGTGGCGGCTCAACTGAAAACTCTTAGCCGTTGTTTGTAGTCGTACACGGATTCGGAGATCACACATGCCGCTGGGCAGTCAGAACAACGAGAAGCAGCCTCTGCGGCAGGCAGCACGACTCGGAAGCTGAGAGGTAACTTCACCCGGCAGCCTCCAAGTTCAGGACGAACGAATGGCCCTGGATTAAAAGGGCTCTCGCCTGAGCCTGAATTCCGATACGGAGGCGGGAGGCCTGACCGCCTGAGCCTGAATTCTAATAACCGAGATGCATTTCAGGCACTAGAAGGGCTCTTGGCTTTGTATGGCTGAAATCACGTGTGCAGCTCGATGCCTGTCAGCGATAATCTTCGATTTCAACGATATATTCGCTCCGCTTTTGTATAGCGTAGAAAAAAGATGACGGTTTATACCGAGCAGGAGCAGAGAGTTGAGCTCTCGAGTTTAGATAGGTAGGCATTTCGGCTCTCTTTTGGATCAAGAGCCGTGTAAAGTACACAGAGTTTAGAGAAGGCATACACAGGCTGCTATACATGTACATTGTACAGTGGAGAAACCGCACCGGCAATTCGATAGTGCCATACCGCCATACCGGTACGTGAGTGCAACTTATGATTCCGGTATTCTTACTTCCACTCCCAGAAGGCCATAACAGAGCACTCCAGGGTCCACTCAGACTTGCAAAGTGACTGCAGAAAATAACTGGTCCAGAAATGGGAATGTGGCCCATAGTAGCACAAGAAAACACATTAAACATGATCGATCCAGACCATAAGCCCATAGGACACGAAAACATAACTTGATTAGCTCTTAACAATGTTTTGTTCCCAAAACAACATATTTCGATAAGCACTTCAGTAAGCCCGAGTAAGGAACGGGAGTTTCATATGATGGAACAGAATAGCGGCAACGTCCCGCTTCACAGAACCAAATTGTCAAGGAGAGAAATCTCGCAAAAAAAAACCATGTTTATCAGCAATTTTATTTATCAAACTAGCATCCCAGTGAATGAGAAAAAAAAAACATTGCATGGATTAGATATGGGCATTACATCTTCTCTCAAAACAAAGAACACCCCTCAAATCTCCTTGGAGGATAAATAAGATGGTTACTACAACAGAGTATAAGAGGCCTTTCTACTTGTACTGCTCTGAAACTATGCGAGTAAACTTGTCCATGAACTGGCATTTCTTGTCAAAACCCCAGCCAGGATTGTTCTGCAATGAACAGAAATAGGGACAGAATTTTTAAAAACAATCATAATGTTATGACATCAGCAACCCTATTGTCAAAGGAAGAAAAGGTAGGAAGAAACTAAAAGGCAGCACTTGGAGATACAACAGAACATCTCTTGTGTTATCAATTGAATATATCTATCCACACAAGATATGCTCCAGAAAAGGGTATACAAGACCGCCACACCAGACTAATGAACATTAATGATACTCATTACAGGCAAAACATTTGAGATGTTATATGAAACACAAAACATCAAGTAAATACTCCCTCCGTTCCAAATTGTAAGTCGTTTTGGCATTTTTAGATTCAAAATTTTTACTATGTAGCAAAAGCTATGTACCTAGAAAAGTCAAAACGACTTACAATTTGGAACGGAGCCACGGAGGGATTAATTTTTTATTGCAGTTGAACTTTAATAAGTTCAATAAATATGCCAACAGAAGGCGTCTCAATTTTTTAAAAAAGAAACCTTGGTACTGGTTGCCGTATCATAATGTCAAGTTAACCACAAATCATGTTACTCATCACCAAAGGGAGATTCAGAAGTTGAATGATTGAAAATGCAAGCATATCAAATCGATCCAATGGAACTAAGGAATGTTCAGAACACAAGTTGTCACAAGAAGGCAAACCTTAAGAGAGAGTAGAGTTTTGTCAGTAAACCGCTTTACTGAAGAAGGGATACTTTCTGGAAGAGTGTTTGCAACTCTTTGCAGCTCCTCCTCTTGTTGTTTTGCAGTCACAACATCAGGTCCACTGTACATATCTATGAGCTCTTTCATATGGGGGGCTCTAGCCATTACATCTTTCACAGATTCCTGGTAGTGACACAGTAGAATACATTGAGTCAGTTAAAATACTCCGCCACAAAATATATCGTATTAGAATACGACCATTAATGTACGCATGCACTAGTTACTATATTAATTTAATGATCTGACACAAAATGTAATGTGATGTTGTGAGGACTTCCATAAGTGGAGTAAAAGCTGAAATATAGAACAGGGCATCTAACAAAATTGATCCACAGCTTATGCTGTGTAAAGTTATGTCAGTATATCTGAATAGAAAACTACTAATATACCTAAAGATAAGAGGCCAATCTGGATAAATTTATGTATAGTAGTTAGCAGAGTTATGACAGCAGGACTAGATGGGCACCAAAATTGTAGAATGTAGACATTTGTAGACAAGAGTAATATCATGATTGCAGCTTATGTTGTTCACATGTTCTATCTGTTCTCAAGCCTGTCTAGAGCAGGTAATGATCATCTAATATTACCCAACCATCGACCCATTTTGTATTGTAATTGTAGCTGTACATAAATGGATTTTTGCCACTGGTATGAAGGCTTGGGATTTTCTAATACATACCTAATTCAAGTGACAACAGAAACAGTATACATATGATACGAGCAGAAACATTTTCGAGGGTAAACATAAAACTGTGCAACCAATTGAAGAAATTACCTCCCATTCTTCCTGGTTCTGGATGCCCTCAAATGCAACTATGAAGGGTTTCACCTTCTGAAGCATCTCCTCCAAGGACATTGGTGGTTTCTCATCAATATCAGGATTACCAAAATTCACATGGTACTCTGGCTCAAACTCGATCTGCATGCACAAACCCACAGCAACAAAAACTTTCAGGAAAGTCACAAGCACATCCAGATAGGAAAATACTACAAAATCCACTGGCTCCGTACGCACCATGCTATTTGTGTGAAAAGCCTCGAGGTAACCATCCTCGATTGGATCTGGCAGCGCATTATCTGCTGCCTCCATGAACGCCTGCTCCAGAATCTTCATCTTGTCCTCGCCGAGCCGCTTCTCTAGCCTATCGCCATCAGCATTGTCTCCCAAGTAGATCGCTTGCCGGTCGTCTTCCACGTCAACGGACCTGCCGTCATCGCGCCCGCGCCCCCTGAATCGGCCGCGGCCCGTGCCACGGCCACGGGAGCCGCGACCCCTGCCACCACGCCCTCCGCCATCTTCGCCGCTGCGGTCCCCGCCGCCCAGGAGTTCAACCGCCCGATCCACAGCTTCCTGTTGCGACAACTTCGGTTGCTGCGCGGCGGGAGCCTGTTTCGCCGCCTCGCGGCGCCGGATGAACCGGTTCTCTTCCGGAGGCTTATCCGGCGCAGGTTGCTGCGTCCGGGGGACCCCGCGGCCAGCGCCAGAGAACGGGAGCGTGCGGGGCAGCGGCGGCGCGGAGGAGGAGGCATCGAGACTCGGCGGCTCCGGATCGGGGCGCTGAGGAGCGTTGTCGAAGCGCTTGGTGAAGGTCGGCTGCT